CGATATAAAGGTAAAATACAAGCGTCATCCTACACGCAACCATTGTGTGACCTACTGAAGATACAGTAGGATTCAAATTACAGGTGCAGTAAAAAAGTACAAAATAGTGCTCTTAAAATGATCCAATTCACAAGCCAAACTGTGTTTATCATAAAAAACTGAAATCGCACAGTCATGATTACAATATACTACTCCTAAATTGTTTTCCCAAATAAATTAATGGCACATGCTAATGATAATTGAAAATTGGGTTTGAAAATAAATACAAAAAATCATGAAAGGGTATTCTTTAAAAACAAATATATAAAAAGGATCAAAATTGTCTTCGTATTTTATTTCACATCCATTTCACTTCTAGAGTTGTGGTTCTTCTGTCCATGCAATTTTTAACAGTTTCACCTTATCTCCACCTATTCTGTTGCGTAGTGAGGATATTAGCGCATGTCTACAGAAGGCTAACAGGTGCTGCACTTCAGTGGTGCAGCAACGGGATTGCCTCCTACAATATTTGTATATTATTCAAATGACTATTCAGTTATTCAACCGTTATTCACTTATTCAAAACAATAAATAAACATAAAACTAAATGATATATGACAGGACTCCTATATTGAATCTTACACTTTGATTAAACCATTTATACATCTCTTCAGTAACGGTGCAATGTTCAATATTACTGGGATCTCGGTGACTCCAAAGGCTTTTAAAAAGTTGGGTGACTACGGCTAAAATTCGTGGTCATGCACTGTAAATGCTGGATAAATTTACGAGGTTAAAGTCTGCAAATGGGGAATCAGCACATACTGTACGTGGGTGGGTACTTGTTATCGATGTACCTGCGTTGGATATTGAAATACTGATTGGCGAAAACCAAAAAGTAAATTACTTACAAAAAATAGGCAATTCTCGTGGGTGTATTGGATTTAATGACAAAGGCTGGAATAGTAGTGCTGTCGTTACGCGTATTGACAAAATTGCATGTCATTTCTAATGCAATTTTTGATTACAGATGACCTTTCAGAAAAACTGAGATTTTGCAAGTGGTTTTAAATGACAAAGACAAAACCTTTTTTTTATTTATTAGAGACTTCAGACGTTCAATAATTGGCGTGAGTGATTAATAAATGGTTAATCGGTCAATAGAGGTACAGGCTCCAGATGTTGTTGCAGTTTTGAGGACACACGTGTCTCTAATTTATGGGTTTATCTTAAAAAAGGAAAAACTCCGAATCCGCTCGTTAACAATGCACTTGTCCTTATGCCCTTTTTTGTTCATTGTTGCTAATGAGATTGTGCTTTGTAATGCTAAAATCTATTGTTATTCACTTTTTTCAAAGCTCTATCACCCATGTCTTCACCCACGTCTTTCTTTCTTGTATGCTACTTCATCTCGTTTTCACTTTCTCATTATGTGTTCCGCTTGTCTTTTCCTTAGTCGTGCTTTATGTATGCTTCTATATAGCTCTATGTACTGTATTTGCTTTCTTTTATGACTGTTTAGCTAAGCTTTGCCGATGTAAGTGTGCAGAACTCTTCGCTTGTCAGCAGAGTTCTGAGATTACACAGAACTGGAGTGTTGCAGCAAGGAGCGTCTGCTAAAAATGTCAGACAGTAAATTGAACTGAACTACCTAATTAATCAGACATCGTGCCACGCCACATTTCAACCAGCATAGTGTGTAGTGTATTTTTTGTCGATTCTTACATATCACGCCAGACTGTCACCAAATGAGAAACGTGTACCATATTAAATGTCCCTCTCTGAAAATAAATCGTTACAAGAGCGAAGCTAAAACAATAGTGAAATAATGAAAGAGTCCACCAGCAATCACACTAACAATGTCCGCAACTAATGTTGGGTACTTTATATTACCCCCACTTACTTTATGAACATATAAAACGATATGAGGCCAAAACAGTCGGTAAATATAATGTTGAAAACGAGTTTTCTTTTTGACCGAATTGTCACTAGTTTGCTGCTTTACGTTTCCTCAACGCAGGGTGGCAGTGGACACAAATCTCAGTTTTGCTCGCAACATCGGGGAAACTCATTCTGGGGAGAAAAAAGTTCATTATAGCGTATTTATGGCTGAGTATTTGAATACGGTTTTTAAACCTTTATTTCATGTTTAATATGAATACATATGTAGTGTGAAGGTCATTCTTGTGACAGCGTAAACTTTTCGACGTCCTCGTAGTTGCGCTTTCATCCCTACGTCATTACAGTGAGTTTACAACAGACAGCTACAGAACATTTCCAATTTGAAAATTAAGAATAATTTGTTGCACTCTTCCTTGGAACGTTGTGGACACGGAACGTATGACGCTCTACCGGCAATACTTTGGGGTAACCTTGCGATGGAGTGCCTTCCCATCCAGAGTCAAGCATCCCCTCTCAGGTTGAGACCGAGACTGAGACCGAAATGAAACTGATGAGGCTCCTGGCCCGAACATTGGACTTTATTAAACGGTGTGTGAGCACAATGTGTGAAATATCGGGCTGCCTCTTACCTAAAAAGCTTTTCAATTGACTCATATAGGCCTACAAAAAAGAGACTTACTGGAGGAGGTGAGCATATCAGCTATTAATGACAAAATATGATAAACTCTGATAAACTCATCTATCTCTCTTTGTCTCCGACGTTGAGCTTAGTTTTTTTTTATTTCAAATGTCATATACTTATTTTTATTGATTTTGGAACAAATCCTAAAATATTTTAAGACGTAACTGGGAATGACTATCAATAAAGTATCTCATTTATAAACTTACAAATAATAAATATATCGGCCATTTACTCTATCACACACACTTCTTACTGTTGCTGCTTTCGAGTTTACAAAGATAAACTTAACAGCTGAAGTACTGTACACAGACACGTGTAGCAGAACAGCATCACCTCTCTGTGTAACCTGTCTTTTCATTGCCAGGGGAAAAAAAAACAACATGAGGCAGTGACACAATAATGAATATCAATACGAACAAGCACTCCACTTCCCAATGCTCCTTGCAGTAGATCTTTCTTTCTTCATCCGCCATCAACAGCTACTTGACATCGAAATAGGAAAACAAAACACCCTGTCGCTTTAAATAAACACAACAGACGATCTTCAAAGGGATCTTGTCTTTGAAACTCCACTAGGAGAGCTAGTGCCACACCGCTTGACGAAAGCGGCGACCAGCAAGCAAGGAGGTCAGGAGTAAAGGCACAAATCAAGCATTGTTGCTTGCTGCTTCTGTAAATGTTATTATCTCAGTTATGTAAACATGCACTACGTATATTTATATGGCGTTTTTACCTTTTAACGTATATTTTATGGTGTTTTTTACTTTTTTTTTTCCATCCGCACATTTATAAGCCTCAACACTTTTATTTCAGAATCTAACTTAACACTGAGTCCCCAGAAACCAGAACTACGGTCCAAAGGTATTTTTGATTCATAATGCTCATCATTAACATTATGCGTCTTTCAGTGTTTTGTTCTGTGTAAATTACCATTTTTTAAAAACAAAAGTAACGATAAATAGAAATAGGGAAATAGGGAAATGTTGTTCTTTAATGCTTCGCAGAAAATAGCACTAGATAGCCATTAAGCTATTTAGCTAATAGCGCTTAGATCACAAAAGTAACGTTTTTTTAATTACTCGTGAGCTAATAAACGACATTAACAGAAATATCATCTGTATAAGAAGAGAAAGGTTGCTTATGGTAATGTTATGATTTTAAGATTAGCATTTGTTATAGGGACATTGGGTCGTTGCATTACTGTCTTTTTGATAAAGAGGAAACCTTTTTTAACATCGGACAGAAACATCAAGTACAACATTAATAAAAAAAAAAACACTAACAAAAGTTCTGTAAATTATTGTTCAAACGAGGGCTTGGTTGAATATATTTTAATCCAACCAGCCAATCATATATTTTCGACCTCTGTAGCAGAAACATCTGCAGGTGTTTGTGATGTCATATAGAGATACCAAAGAACAGAAAATAATTTCTTTGCAGAATGCCCCGTATTTGAATTTGAAGGTCTACGAGATTATATGATTTCAGTAAACCGAACATCTTTTGTGCGTGGGTGGAGACCGTTGCGTCCACCCTGACATAGGCTGAATTGCTTCTTCAACAATCTGTACTGCTTAATCGCTGGAGATTTTGGTTTAAAATAACTCATTTTAAAATAAATATTTTTGATTGTTACTGTCAATATTATAAATGAACTATTATAATGGCTTAATGGCTCAAGTGTACATACATTTTAGCTTCAAAACTGCTGATAGGTACCTTGCTTTCGACTGGAAAAGGTTGGATCTCGATTCCTTTACATAGAAGATGAATTGCTAATATGCCCGTGACTATCGTTGTATAACTATGTATAGTTGTTATTACTATATACATTGTGTAGGAAAAGAAAAAAAAGAAAACACTATTTCATGAAGATTTGAATCTCGATAAGATGAATATAGTTTTTTAAAATCTATTTACTAAAATAAAGCCTACAAAATCATTCTGAAACTGAATCAAAAGCGTATAAATATAAATACGATTATTATTATTATTATAATTATTATTATTAATCCCTTGTCCGATCCCTTATCGACAGTATTTGTGAAATATGTAATTTTCTTGTGTTATAAAATACAAAATGTTCAATTTGCATGCAGATTACTGATGCACAAACGCACAGAAAGCCGCATATTCTTTACTGCAATTCCTACCCACTGTATGAACATGATTAGAAGTGTTTACAAGAGTCTACCCAGAATAATATTGGAAATAGCAATTTAGCTTCGATGGAAACTAAGAATAAACGAAAACCAAGAGCAAAACAGTAAAAGCAATTCACACGTTTATAATTTTGCATTTTAGCAGCTTCAAACTAGGGAGTGAAATCCGGACAGGTTGTTATAGCTACCCAATCCACAGGGGTCCCCATGTCTATTTAAACCCCTCTGCCCCCCCTCCTTCTCCCTTTAAACAACATTATATATCACACACGGCTTCTCGAGGCCCACAAACCCTAATGAGTACTAAAACACTATCTTCTTGCAATTAGCTCATTCCTGAGTTTGTGTTCAGCCTGACTGACACAAGGAAAGGGAGCGCGAGAGAACAGTATCATCAGAATTTTCCCTTTGGCAATACATGCTGATTGGGTCCCAAAAGCAAGCGGCTTTAAACTTTTAATATTTGCCTCCCGTACACTGCCTTGACTGGTTGTAAAGGACTGTCTCTCTGAAACTACTTCAGACAGGAGGAACGACTTTGGTCTGTGATTTTTTTTTTCATTACAAACTTTTGTGTGTGTGTGAGGGAAAAAATGTTTTCCGAAACTTTTCTAAGGATGATCTACCTTGGATGTTTCCTGTTTCTTTGTGGGCTTACGCAAGTCATGGCAAGTTACCCTATCTGGTGGTAAGTTTTTATCTTTTCTTTTTTTCCCAAGGCTTGCCTTGTTTAATTTAAATGTCATTCTTGTTGTAACAAAAAGGCTCAATATTTTAGGTGTTGGTTAATTCAGTTCCTTGTCATAAACGATACTTATTCATCGTTTTGCTGTCTTAAAAAATGATACCTGATCCAGTGCTCAGCACCATAGAGAGGTATCAGATAGCCGTTTAAAGTGAAACGATGCTTTGATCCTGTTGGAAAACATTGGCTGAATTCAGCAGATAATGATACAAGCTGACATGAGCACTTCAAGTTGAATTTTGAGCTAGTCAAGTGGAATCGTGAAGCAGAAAAACAGTAAGAGAAGCACCGAGGCTGGGCGTAAAGGTGCTTTTTATAGCAGGTAGGACTGAGCAATCCGGACTGGTTCAGGAGAAAAAAAGTCGCAGAATGTGTCTTTAAACCAATTAGTGATCGGTCTGATAAAAGAAAACAGAAAGACTTTTGCTTTTCAATAGACTAAGAAAGACATAAAATGCCTCATTGAGCGGTATTAATAGAATATCTCTGATATAGAGAACGCCCTCAGAAATATAAAATGTTTTGCTGACAGAGTCCAGACGATTACAAGCAAGCGGGTGTAAGTAATGTTTTTGGGAGAGGTTTAAAAATGCAGTGTATACAAATACACAAATTTCTCAATGAATTAGTAAACCGTGGTGTATATTTAGAAAACAAATATTGTGAATAAATAAGACATTGGTATTCAAGCTAATATTTCTAGCCCTACTGTTATTATTATTAAAACAATAGTTTCAGTTTAATTCATGTAATAAGGTGCCACCTCTATACGATGCACTAACGCTTTCTGGAGATTATTGCAACACTCTGTATTGTACTTCATTTATGTGACTGCAGTTATGAAGAAGTTTTTTTCCTTAAGACAGATCTGTAATTATAACACCCACTACAAAAGAGAAGTTACCAAACTGTACTTGAGAAGACATGTATAGGCTCTGCAGGTTTAATTGTGAAGTTTTGTTGTTGTAGAAGACGGAATCCCTGTGGATGATGATAATAATAAGCTTTTGTCTTGGTCACTATTACCCATTAAACGGTAAAACATCAACATAAAAACCACAAAATAGCTGAAGCAAACATTGCATTATCATATCAGGATCATACTGATGATGACAGTTCATGTGCAATCCTGATTTCAGATAAAACTTGAAATCTGTGTTGGTTAGGTTAGGAGTAGACGCAGATTGTGCCTAACGCTCGTTTTTTTCCGATTAGTTTTGAGGTTTAACCTTTTGGAAGAACTTACACATGATAAGTATTGTGAAATTTCAAAGACACTGCAATATTTTGATACATCAATAATAAAACGAAAATCAGATTTTACGGAGATAAGGAGAGATTATTGTATTTAAAGAAATGTAAGCACTGCGTAAAACGAGATTTTTAGTAGCCTATTTATTCATGAGTAAAGAGTGTAACCAAAGAAAATATGTAAAACGTTAATTTAAATCTAAGTTCCCTGTACATTAACGAAACTGACAAATCGCTTGGAGATCTAATCTCCTTTCTATATTGAGTAATTTCGCGTGTATAGACACGTACAGTCATATTAGGGTGTATTAATACAAAATTATTATTTTTAGATTAAAACAAAAGTGAAAATTCTGGTCCATTTACGCTTGTCTAGATTCCAATCAGAGAGAAAAATTTGATCATGACAATTGTTTCAAGAGGTTAAGCAAGTACAGGAGATAAAATGTTAATGCACCCTTTGACAGCACTGGAGCAAAATGTACACCTGGATAAGAACAATTATTAGGAGGCGGTATTCTATGTGCTATCATCCCACGCCTAATCATTAGAAATTCCTCCTGCATACCTGATGTAGGAATTGTATGGTTTCCCTTATCATAATTTAAACGCTGAGCTATTGACAAATTCGCCTCATATAATCAAATTCTTCGTAGATGTTGACAGATATACGCATGTAATCCTCAACTCGTTTCCGTGAGATTTCTCCATTAACTATTTTTGTTATTAGTAAAGGGCACTATTTCTTTTTGATGAAGTTATCAGGTAATGTCATTGCGAAAGAACTACCTTAAATTAAACAGAAACGAAATTACTTTTTAGGTGTTGTGGAGATCCGTCTACGGTTGTAGTGATGACTACCTGCAATGCTTTGGCATAGCATGACATTAAACACATTCATTTATTTGCTTCCTTGTTTGTTTTTATTATTAAGGCAAAAATATAAAAGTATGTTGCATTACATTATATTTTTGACTTACTGTGTGAGACGATTATTTTGACGACAAAGTGGGAAAAATATATTTAAATACTTTTTATATTCGTTCATCTCAGCATCCGTGCATCATTTCTTATCAGCATAATATTCCAAAATAATATTAGCAATAGTGATACGTATATTAGGCTAAATTGCGTTTAGCGTTTTTTAAACCAATTATTTAAGATATCCCATATGGAAATATTCCATATATTATGGAAAACAGTTACATCTCAGTATTTCCTAGAATTATAATTACTCGGTTTATTCATATATTGTCAATATATGTAATATATTGGGTGTGACATTGGTGGTTTTCATGCCTTGGACATGCGCTAGATTTTGGCATTCTGAAATGACTGACTCCTACTGGATTTGGTTAGAGTTTTATGAATAAGTACGTAAACAGTCTTAGAATTATACCGTGATGTTCATTTTAATGTAATAGCAGGAGCCTGTGTTTACTTACCATCTGTTAAATAAACTGAAATCTATCATTATTATCTTAAAAATTAAATGCCCCAGTATAGACTGTAGTTCTTTTTTTCTTTTCTTATTGGCTTTGCTGTTGTTGTTTTACAGCAGGTTAAGCTGTGTAGCAAACTTTTATGTACGCGACATATATCAAAAGTATTGTATTCTTCTTGCCTTCTTCTAATATACACTACAGGCAGCTGGCAAAAGCTTCGTCAGAAGCAAAATGTCCGTCATAGTGGCCAGCAGGTCGTATTCTACGGTGTCGCAGCACTATAAAACAGAATTAAAAAATGATCAGCCCATCAAGATCAGACAATGAGCACTTGTTTTGGTATGACATATGGCGGTATTGAAGAACTCACAAGTTACAACAAATACGTAGTTCTTCTCTGATTTTAGCGATCTGGGGCCCCGTTCTCACTTAGAATAAACTTTACCATTAGTGCTGTGTGTGGTGGTTGTTCACACTTTCACGAACTGCAGACTTCATCACTGCTTAAGAGGCCCTGGGACACATGAGTAGAAGTGGGCATTCGCACAGGTATGCACGCGTACGGGTTTTCTGGCTAACCATAAAGCCGACTTTCGAGCTCCTCTACCAGTGGCTTTTTGGAGCCATCCAGCCAGGTACCGTTTAAATGTACAGTACGTGTTTGCTCGTATTGCTTCCTTGTAAATATTTTGAAGAGCTCTGCATTGAGTCTAAAACCCACCACTGCCTTCATGATCATGTTTATACGGTATGTTTCTTGAGTTGTGGTATAAGGCAATAAAGTGCATTGCCTTTATTCCATTAATGGGAGTCTGTTGGTGATTCACAGTCACAGATTTTACCTTGTGAAATACAGGTACAAGGGCTAATAATCGCATGACAAAAATGGATAGTCGTCCGCAGACAAAAATACTTCAGATTTTTATTAATTTATACAACAAAAATACGGAATAAAAATCTTACATCGCTTATATCTGTGACTGCCAAACATATAGAAACAAATATCATCCATACAAAAATGTAGCTTAATGGGATATGTGACTATTGCATAGAACAGTTTTTCAATTATTCTTGGTATTATTAGCAGTAGTGTTGTTTATGGTGTGCTGAAATATTTATTTAGGGAAATCTAAATAGAGATTGTACCTTCAATCCGTGCATACTGCAAGAAAAAGTCTATAAAATGACGGAATTTAAAGACTTTTTTCTGTTATTGCTGAAACAATTCGTTGATGCTGGTCAGTTATATTTTGATGGGATCAGTTTTTATAGCATACTTTCCACATACTTAGAGAAAGCTAAGGAATAGCTCTGATCTTGGAATGAGGTGGTTTTCAAAGCGTTAAATTTTCTGCAACCACTAAAGCTTTGCCAGGAGGTTAGTCACACAATGCTAAATGATGCCTCAGTGAAGGAAACTCTTGTTTATTCGCAAACAGCTTGCACAACTGCACTGCTTAATAGCTACTTGGCACGATGTTCAGGTGTGCTGATCAGAACTGGGTAAGCAGCCTTTTTAGCTGCAAAATGTTACCCAGGCTAACCCTTTACAGTGGAGTCTTATCAATTTAGATCTTTTCTTCTTCTTCGATTAATCAGCTGCTCAATATGCAGCACAAACGGGAAGAGGTAAAGCCTTTGAAACTCCTACCATGTTGGAAAACTTCGAGGGCATTGAAAATAATCACGCTTTGATTTTGAAAATAGGAAGTGACATATGAGATCCCCAGCTCTTTACTGCGCACTATTTTATGGTTATTTTTTCAAATAATTTTCGTTAAATTGTAACAACAGCATCAGTTAATGTTAATTTTGCTGTTATATGTAGCTGTGATGCATTGAATTTCCATTCATTATGAGGAAAAAAAACATTCTATCTAATGTTCCAAACAGGTCAATTAAACTGTAGATGTACTACATTTTCCACGTGATTTTCAGAACACTGAAAATGGACCTGCCCTTTTATGTATTTTTGAAAACGTGGCAACGACTTTCAACAACTTTGAAACCTGTACGAACGTGAAAGTAATGCAGCTGATGCGTATTTCTGTACTACTGTAATTTACTGTGCTGGTGGGCCTTTGATAAAGGGATTGTAATCTGTATTTTATGTAATTCGTTTAAAGTGACTGAAAGTATTCGTGAAGTAAAGGATATGGCATTCTCATGAAACCATATAGAACAATCTGTCCACACTGTCCCTGGAATCTGTATTTATTAAGCACTATAAATGCAGTCCAATTTAGA